GAAGGCGAGATTTCTTTTCTTTAAAAAAAAGAACCTCAAAACAAACAACAACGTATTCGCCGAATGGCGGCGAAGGAAGCGTCGACCGTTCTTTCTCGTTCGTGAAAACAAGCTGAGCAAACGCGTCCCCTGCCACGTCGAGCGAAAGACGTTACTAACTCGCACTCGATTTCATGAAGCCATTGCTCCACGAGTACACCGTCGAGACTGGCCCATCGCTTTAGCCCCGGCAACATCCTCATAGCGGTCGAGGCGTTCTGTTATGCACTCGCACGAGAATCGAAAGTTTCAACTCTTTTCACTCGGTCCACTCGGACAGTCGGATTTAAGACTGTTCTTCTCCGCAACCGTTGCGGCCACCGGCAGAGTCGAGCAACTTCCAACTCTTCCCGCCTCGGTCCGTCCGTACGAGGTGCGAATTGTAAAGTCCTGCTCCAGCCGAAACGGGCGGTTATATGTACGTCGGTGTACACGCGCCGTGTGTCATCAAGAAGCAAAGAGGATGTTCGTGTGATGGCATAAAAAAAAAAAAAAGATGCAACAAATCTTAGAACAAGGGCTCAATCTCAGCAGATCGTAGCAACAAGGCTACTCTACTGCTTACAATACCCCGTTCTTTATTTAAGTCGTCTGCAAAGGATTTAGCTCTGGAAAATTTAGATTTTGGTCGCTGTAGTGCTTAGGTGCATAGTCTGCTCCATGGGCACGTTGTGACACAGGAGACGACGAGTCGCGCCACTATTCTTGTTCGCGTAAGTCGTCCAGAGAAAGGAATCGTTGCGTTCTAGCACGGATTCTGATTTAGAGGCGTTCAATCATAATCCAACAGATGGTAGCTTCGCACCATTGTCTTTTCAGGCAAGTGCATGAGCCAATTGTCTGAATCTGCGGTTCCTCTCGTACTGAGCAGAATTACTATTGCAACAACCATTCAACAGTAGGGTAAAACTAACCTGTCTCACGACGGTCTAAACCCAGCTCACGTTCCCTATTGGCGGGTGAACAATCCGACGCTTGGCGAATTCTGCTTCGCAATGATAGGAAGAGCCGACATCGAAGGATCAAAAAGCAACGTCGCTATGAACGCTTGGCTGCCACAAGCCAGTTATTAAACGTCACCGTGTGACCTATAGTAAAGTGGTTACCTAGGCTATCCTTTACTAATCATTGAAGTATGGCCATATGTAACTAGATACTATGTCATGACTTAACTTAAGTTAAGATATAGATATAATAACTTTTATGAAATTTTTAGAATCAGCCCCTTTTTGCATATTTGCATAGGGTACCAAAGGCATAGCTGAGAAAAAAAGTTTGTCTTCGTTCGGTCAACTTCCGGGGGAGTTACGGACTCTTGAATATCGTTGCGGGACCGGTGTGAAAAAGTTGAACTTTAAGTGGCCAGTAGTAAAAGGGTTTTCATCTATAATCTACGCTAACATATGTGCGACGTTTACCGGGAACTTTACTATGTCTGACGTTAATATTGGACATGTGGCTAAAAAATTACGGAAGATACCGCTGGCCGAATATCGTTCCAAATTGCAAAATAAAAGTCCAATGAACATTTTTTCATTTTCGAAAATCGAGAAAAAATTCAGTTTTACTTTCAGGCGAAATGTAAATGCATCATTTTACTATCTGACTACTTTGTAGTTACATTAGTAAAACTTGTCTCAAATAATGTAATTTCCGGGGGGGTGACAAACCGCCAAATATGGCCGAAACAGCATATTTCAATATTTTTTACAGCTTCATGCTTTTAAGTTTATGTCTCCATTTTTCTGGCACTCACACACCTTTTGATTAGAAAGTCGGAAAAAAAATTTGGCTGACTTTGGTTTATTTCGGGTGGAGTTATTGACATTTTCCTAGTGGTGACAAATGGGCAAATATGCTGAAAACAGCATATTTCAAGTTTTTTTCCAGCTTCACAGTTTTAATGTTATGTCTCCATTTTTCTGTCGTTGCCATAGGTTTGCATTAGAAACTCGCACAAAAAATTTAGCTGACATTAATTTACTTCGGGGCGAGTTATTGACATGTGTATTTCCGTCTGCACAGGTTAATGCTAAATGGACACAGCTGACCTCTATAGAAACTGTCGAGTCAGCAAATGTTTAGTTAACTCGTGTTGGTAGAGCAAATGGTTACAAAGTTACAACACATTTTGTCTTCGCGAATGCAAAATTAATTGACAAATATGGCTAACTTCGCACAAAGGTGAAAGAAATTTGCTTCTAACTTTGTCAATATGTGTCGTATTAACACAGTTTAATAAACAGTTCCTGACTCGTCAAAACCTCTACATTACAGCTAGTTCTGACACATAATGTTTTCCTTCCAAATAAAGATTTTCATAAGGGCAATTCTTTTCACTACAGTAAAATTCTTATCGCGCGCGAAATATGCTGTCAGTTGCGTTAACTTTGAGGAGAAGTTTCTTGGGTTGTTTTCACGTTACTATTCTCTATGTACACGTATCTCAAAGCCACGTGTCTGTTCTTTATTTTAAGATTAAAATCGTGTTCTCGAATGCTTTATCATTCAGCAAAACGTTCCAACAAGAACGCCTGTTTACATTTCGCAAAATTTGCGCGTGAGTTATAATGTTCTTTTATGACAACAGTTCACAAACTACCAGGTAGAAAATTTTCAAATATTGCTATAATCAAGTTAAAATGGACAGATTTGAGCTCTACAGAAACTGGCGAGTCAGGAAATGTTTAGATCATGTCGGTAGAGCAAATCTTTACAAAGTTAGAAAACATTTTGTCTTGGTGAATGCAAAATTAATTTAAAAATATGGCCGACTTGGCACAAAGGTGAAAGAAATTTGCTTCTAACTTTGTCAATATGTGTCGTATGAAGACAGTTTAAACAGTTCCTGACTCGTCAAGACCTCTACATTACAGGTAGTTCTGACACATAATGTTTTTCATCCAAATTAACATTTTCATATGGGCAATTCTTTTCACTACAGTAAAATTCTTATCGCGCGCGAAATATGCTGTCAGTTGCGTTAACTTTGAGGAGAAGTTTCTTGGGTTGTTTTCACGTTACTATTCTCTATGTACACGTATCTAAAAGCCACGTGTCTGTTCTTTATTTTAAGATTAAAATCGTGTTCTCGAATGCTTTATCATTCAGCAAAACGTTCCAACAAGAACGCCTGTTTACATTTCGCAAAATTTGCGCGTGAGTTATAATGTTCTTTTATGACAACAGTTCACAGACTACCACGTAGAAAATTTTCAAATATTGCTATAATCAAGTTAAAATGGACAGATTTGAGCTCTACAGAAACTGGCGAGTCAGGAAATGTTTAAATCATGTCGGTAGAGCAAACCTTTACAAAGTTAGAAAACATTTTGTCTTGGTGAATGCAAAATTAATTAAAAAATATGGCCGACTTGGCACAAAGGTGAAACAAATTTGCTTCTAACTTTGCCAATATGTATCGTATCAAGACACTTTAAACAGTTCCTGAATCGTCAAGACCTCTACATTACAGGTAGTTCTGACACATAATGTTTTCCATGCAAATTAAGATTTTCATATGGGCAATTCTTTTCACTACAGTAAAATTCTTATCGCGCGCGAAATATGCTGTCAGTTGCGTTAACTTTGAGGAGAAGTTTCTTGGGTTGTTTTCACGTTACTATTCTCTATGTATACGTATCTAAAAGCCACGTGTCTGTTCTTAATTTTAAGATTAAAATCGTGTTCTCGAATGCTTTATCCTTCAGGAAAACGTTCCAACAAGAACGCCTGTTTACATTTCGCAAAATTTGCGCGTGAGTTATAATGTTCTTTTATGACAACAGTTCACAGACTACCACGTAGAAAATTTTCAAATATTGCTATAATCAAGTTAAAATGGACAGATTTGAGCTCGACAGAAACTGGCGAGTCAGGAAATGTTTAAATCATGTCGGTAGAGCAAATCTTTACAAAGTTACAAAACATTTTGTCTTGGCGAATGCAAAATTAATTGACAAATATGGCCGACTTGCCACAAAGGTGAAACACATTTGCTTCTAACTTTGTCAATATGTGTCGTATGAAGACAGTTTAAACAGTTCCTGACTCGTCAAGACCTCTATTATTTATTCGCTCTATCTTGCAGGAACGTTATTGCGTTATTGCAGACTTCATATATTGTTACGGGAAAACAATTTATGTGTTCGGAAAACAAACGTTGTGACGTTCTCAGCGTAATTTATATATTTAGTTCTTTAGTTTGTGAATTTTATTCCAAATAAATACGAAATTTAATGGCTTTCATACAAATTTTGTGTGTCAAGCTTGGGGATAATGCGTGGTCAAATTATGATAATTTATGACTAATGCATATACGCCGAGGTCCGACTTTGTTCCAACCAATCACATTTAAGAGATTTTTGATCCGATCCACAGGTATAAAAGGGCGGCAGATTTGATTTTTCATTCAGTCTGAATTCATATTCGGACTAGGTAGGTTCTCTCTTGGTAGTTGTTATAACCCCGGTAAGCACCCTAGTTGTATTTAGGTAATTCATAGGATATTACATGACACTTAGGATATTGAACTAATTGTTAGGATATTACATGATACACAAATACATGTTTTAGTTTAACACTTAGTATTGGTTGAGGTTGTTGCTTGTTTCATTGTGTGAGTTTGTTGCTTTTCATTCCCAGACCAGTAGTCAACTCTTTAAATATTACGGAGTAGTTTTGTAAATACGTTTGCTGTTTCAGTTCACATCATCATTGTATTGCCTTTCTCTTTACGTTTTTGTATTGCATTTCAAGCAAATTCGTGCATTTCAGAGACCCCTTCACTTAAGTAAAGG